TAACCGAAAGTTATAATGAACGCTATTTTTCATAAAGAAACACGCACAGCAAAAATATTAAGTGTAATATAGCCGATGATCTCGATTTTCGTGTTGCCACCTATGGTCTGGTCATCATGAGAAAGAAATTAACAATAAATGTATGAATTTTCAAATGTTACTTTTAACTAATGTAATCCCGTTAGACAATCCAAATCAGAGGGAGGATCGGTAGCCATGGGGGAGTCAACATCCCCTGTAGACCAGTCCCAATCGCCATGTATTCCTTGTCACTGACCGATTTTTTAAGTGAATGGTATAGGTTCATTCCTTAACGTTGAATAACTGATGTCAAAACCATGTACTGTGTCTTTGTATATAGTATATAGAACGAATATCTTTAGTTTCTGTATTTGTGACAAAAAACTAGTAGACAAAAGTACATAGTGCAAAATGTGACAAATGAAAAAAAAAAAACAAACAAACAATGAAATAAACTTGGATTGAAGTTTGCCTGTAAGCAAAAGAGCAATGACATCTGCTCTTCGGATTTAAAACATTTCAATTTTCTGAAGCTTTATGACAGTTCTTTCGGTATAATCTCTAAATAATTCACTTACTTTTAAATTACCTTTTATGTGCTGATCACCTTTTGAAAAAGAAGAGCATGAATAAAGTGGAAAGATAATGTTTTCTCTATGGAGACGTGGAGTAGTCTTTTGAGCCTGATTTTTCTACTTCAACTATCAACAGTAAAATAATTTTGCAGAGACATTAAAGTGCTATGATTATTCAAGTAAATGTAACCAAATTTTCTTTCATCACTGACAATGATTTAGTTTCCTTTTCATATTTATCTTAAATCGGGTTTAAAGATTTGTTATTCCTGCATATATGTATGTAGAAATTTTCATTTTCCTACCGATATGTGTACTTTCTATACAGTATAGTAATTTTAATTTTCCTTCATATATACAGCTCAACGCACCTTTTAAACTCATGGTCTTTCGCTTAAATTAAGGTCACATTTTTCTTGCAATAAAACTTACAATTATCGAGTTTCAGTGCGAGAAATAATCCTTATATTATTAAATATTTTATGTTAGAGGTGCATATTCTCTAAAATAATTATCTTAAGTAAATTTCAAAACTCCATTTTTAAAGGGGAATTTGTTTATAAATTGTATGATGTTACATGTGTATGATTCTACCATAGATATTTACAAATTGATTAATCACTCTTTCTTTGACACTATTTAGTTGAAATGCTCAAATAGACTTCTTAAAGATAAGTATTTTTCTAATTACTTTGCAGATTTTCCATACTTGTCTTGTTTTTGTCGAAATACAGCACCGAAAAATGACAAAACTGCATGAAGAAATCGTGTCAAAGGATAGGATAATAAAGTATTGTTTATCTTTCAACACAGTAAATTGTAAGTATTGAAAAGAAAATCCTTTTACATTTATGGTCTAGAACCTTGAAATTTTGCTTTGGAAGATATCTTTAATGATGCTAGATTTCAGAAAGTTAACCTGAAAAATGCCATCTTTTTAACATGGAAAACAGTCGAACAGATGAGAAATACTTCTATCATCTTGCGCCTTAGTGTCATCTTCATGTACAGAAAATACAGAAGTTACATGAACTGCACTGTTTCTATATTAGGCAAAGGCAAAGGTATGCTTTAAAATAAAATATATCAGGATACACATTTGACGAGAAACCATGAAAAAACATTTGGGAACTGTTATATTCTATCATCCAAGAGCATATAAAAATCCTACCAATTATTATGTTTAAATCATGTTTGAATTAATTGAATAAGATCAAAATTAAGTTATTAATCACTTTAGAAGTATGTTTTGTTGTCACGTTACACAATTTTGCATTATAAGAATGTGAATTTAATTTGTGCGAAAAACCTTGTGAGTTTAAAAAGTGCGTTGAGCTGTATATAATATGGCATGCATAAGGTACTAGTGATTCACATACTTTTCAGCGTGCAAAACCAAACTTCTTATGAAGAATGGAATATACCGTAACTTTAAAGCAAAAATTCTATTTTAAGCATTTTTTTTATTGTATAAATCAACCTAAAAATACACGTATTTTTGAATATAAAGGACCGAAAGTCTTGAGCTCCTTATGCTTTATGTACTGCCCAACTATCGAAAAGCCTTTTAAAATCTGAAAAAAAATATTTTAATGCTCACAGATTAATAAAATACTTCTTCAACACTCACAGGATAAAACTCTGCCATTTTTAAAACTCAAAGGTGAATGAAAGTCTAATCTAAGGTCACTGAAACATTGAACACTGTCATTTATACACTTTTCCTGATGAAATATGGAGACAAGGCTCAGCTCTTCGAGCTCAAATGCCCATTTAAAGAATACAATCAGGAAGAGAGCAAAACACTGACCTCTAAAACATTAGATGCGGGATCAGGTACCACTGAGGAGTGAGCTTCTCCTGCGACCGATCACAATCGCCATGTGCTCCCTGTCAATGACCAATCAGTTAACTAAACAGTGAAGATTTATTCTGTGACGTTTATCAACTGTTGGAAAAATCTTGTACCGTGTCTATTTTTAATTCTGCATTCGTAACAGTAAAGCTTTTAGACAAAATTACTTGGTGCAAAATGTGACGAATGAACAAAAACTACTTATATGAACTCGTAGTAATGTAGGTCTGCACGAAAAGAGCAATGACTTCCACTCGATATATTTTAAACATTTGACACTTTTTAAGCTTTATGTCGATTTTTTCGGTATAATCTCAAAATAATTCACTTTTTTCCAATTAATGTGCTGAAAGAGACAAATATGAACACAGATGAATTAGTAACATCACGATTTTTCTGTAAGGGAGTGCAAAGTAATCCTTGGTGTCTAGCTGTGTTCTACATGTACTTCAACAAGCAAAAGTGAAACATGTTATTTTGTCGGATTTGTGTAAATCTTAAAACCGTAGTAAAGATTTTCTTATTCCTGCATACCTTTATGCAATTATTTCATTCTCATACTAACATTTATGTAGTATTTACATTCTTCTATATATAAATAAATGTAGAACTTTTCATTCCTCTACATAAATGCATGAAGTAATTTACATCCTTTTACACATATGTACATGTATGTAGTCATTCACATTTTTATTATGTGCATGCATGAAATATTTCACAATCTTTTCCGTCTGCTTAGCCATAATATTTATGAGGAATTAAAATATCTTAGAAGCTAGATTTAAGATATGTCACTCCTGAAATTTGTTAAATCAAGGATTTTTTGAAAATATATTTTGGATAAGTACTCATATAGTGTAACTCAAAATCGCAGAGAAAATAGTGGGTCAGTGTACATCCTCCTGATCTACGGTACATTTAAGTTGACCTTTTTGCACTTAAATTTTATCTCTTAGGTTAGTTACTTTAACCCTTTTTATATTTTATCAGATGTAACCATGACAATAAATATAATCCTATTTTACGTAAAATAGTTTGAATAATGTTTATCATTGAACAAATCTTGCAAATTAATGCGCGTAAATTATTGTGTGACCTTTTTGCACTAAAATGTAACTGATTTGGGGTATTAAAAAACTTAATAGGCAATAAAATATTTTCTTATATCAAACTTTTTACGACTTAAGTGCTGATCAGTCACAAGTATCGAGTAGTTTAAAATAATGAGAGAAAAAGTTGGGTCAGCGATGTTAATTTTGAAATATTGGTCAAAATATGTGATTTTCAGGCAAAAAGTGGTGTAAATTTTATCTCGACTTCTTTAATATATCTTCATATTTGTTGTTGAGTTGTTAAGGGAAGGTGTACAACTTGTTCTAAAAATATAAATTAAGACCTATATTAAATATTCCTAGCAATATCATAACGGAAAATATTCTCCGAGTAAAAGTATGTGAGGCTAAATTTCCAATACATTAAATTTAATAAGTGTGCAGATTTGCAAAATTTTCTGCTAAATATCCTCCCACCACAAGAAATAGTCCCTCATAAATCTTGCTTCTTCGTAGATTTTTGAGCAGTTTTTTCTTTGAATGTTAAAAAATGTACATTGTTGAATATAAATATATTATTTAAAAAAATGAATTTTAATAAATAGTTTTGAAGTAAGAGGTTCTGCGCGAACTTTTCTAAAAAGCTGACGAGTGACATACCTTAAATTTTAGGCAATTTTGTAATTGTATAAATACATAGTAATCAAAAAAAATCTTTATTGAATATAAAGGATCAAGATCTCTTTATGTTCAATATACCGCCATTCCATTTAAAGCCGTTTAAAATGTTAAAAAATTTGTGCGTCTGCTTAGCTATAATATTCATGAGGAATTTTATCAAATATTTAAAAATTAAGGCTAGGTTTAACATGTTTAAACTTTAGGCATTTTTTTTTATTGTATAAATACATAAAAAGCCGTTTAAAAGTTTACTGAAGGTCTAATGTGAGTTCATTGAAAGGCAGAATTCTATCATTCATTTACGTTTCGTGATGGAATATGGAGAAAAGACTCAGACATTTAAGCTCAAAAGTCCATTCAAACAATGCAATCTGGAGCAGAGCAAAGTCGTCCGCTTGGTGCAGTAGGTGCTGGCACGAAAAAGATTCCTCACTGCTCAATGGCCCTGAGTGCCGAGTATAGGACTAAATGTGTAGCTCTCCAGCGGTAAGTGGTGGCGTCTCCATATGTCATTGGGTAACATTTCTCGAGAATCGCGTGAAAACAACATACAACTGACCTCTAAAGCATCAGAGGTAGGATCAGGTGTCTTAGAGGAGTGAGCATCTCCTGCGACCAATCACAATCGCCTTGTGCCCCTTGTCATTGACCAATCAGTTAATCAGAAACAGATCCTGCACCGTGTCTATTTTTAATTCTGAATTCCTAACAGAAAAGATTTAGACAAAATTACTTAGTGCAAAATGTTACGAATGAACAAAAACTACTTACATAGTCGTATATGCACTCGGACTTAAGTAGGACTGTACGCAAAGAGCAATGACTTCCACTTGATAGAATTCAAACACTCGACGCTACTAAAGCTTCATGTCGATTTTATTTCGGTATAATCTCAATATAATTCACTTTTTTCAATTAATGCGCTGATCATAACGTCAGAGAGACAAAAATGAACACATATAATCTAATAATATCACGATTTTTTCTCTACGGGGACGCGATTCAAGTAGTCTTCTGTGCCTGACTGTTATACTTCAAATATCTATACGAACTCTCGCGACTTTGCATTCAAAATAGTATTCACATGATAAATTTTGAAATGAGATTTTCAAGAGTAAGTGTATCAAATTTGTTACAAGGCTATTTTTATTCCTAATTACATCCAACAGGACAGAATTACATGTTTACGTATTAAATAGATACATATAGGTAATGATTTCAATTAGAAAATTTGCTCGTCATGTTCAAAGGTAGTAAATATAATAAAACAGTAATAACTTAATATGCAAATGTGAAAAATGTACAAATTCAACCAGAAAAGTCAAAAAAATTGAATTTAGGCAATGATTTCAGTAAGAAAATTTGATTGTCTTGCTCAAAAGTTGTACATACAGTATAATAAAACAATAACAACTAAATATACAAACTTGAAAAAATGTACAAAGTCAAATGAAAATGTTAAAAACAAAATATTACTTTACATTTCAGCACATAAATATTATCCATTCCTGCTCAGGTCAACATTACAATTTGATGGACAATAAATATATAGACAGTGTATTAATTTAAATTTTACTTCTAACTTTTGCAGTTCCATCTGCATAAGACTGGTAAACCATAATGGCTTTATCAATATCGCGCGAAGACTTGACAATAGATGGTTGCTCCTTGCACGCAGACATCCATTTATGAAAGCTCTTGAAATTGCCACCTTGAGGAACTTCAAATCCCCTGTGATGCTTGAGAACAGGGAATCTTAAGGCAAATGGCACCAGCATTATATCCGCCATTCCCAACCTGTCACCGCCAAAAAATGTAGACGAATCCGACTTGAATTCCATTAGTGTTTTCAAGCTTTTTAGTAACTCTGATTTTATTTTCTCCTGAGTGTTTTTATCTTGTTTTAACAACATACCATAAAAAGCAGGGATTATCTCGCGTGATATGAAACCGCATATTATTCTTGTATTGGCGCGTTCCACGGGATCAGAGGGGAGTAGTTTGTTAGCTTGCCCTCCGTATTCGTCAATAAATTCGATGCAAATGTCGGACTCGTAAACTGCTCGTCCATTTACCTCAAGAACAGGAACGAGGCCTCTGGGGTTTAGGCGTAAGAATTCCGCCGTATTACCGCTGTAGGGATTATATTCTATGTAATCAAAGTCCACACGTTTTTCCAGAAGAGCAATCCACACTCTCTGTGCAAATGGACAGAACCACGCACAGTAGAATTTTAATTTGGTCGCCATGGTGCTAAAAAAAAAAGAATGACATATACCTCAGAATACAATAATAATATACACGTTTGTGTTGTCAAAATTCAGTTTCCATATACATTCAGGACAATATTGTAATAACCACAATGTCGGAAAAAAAGCTTCTGCTGTTAAGGTCAGATGATACGAACAATTTTTTTTCTTTGGAGGAGACTTAATAATACGTCAAAGGTTTAGAAAAGTGGATAACTTTTAGAATTTTTTATCCTAAGAACTGGAAAATGAAATAGAATTGGAAAATATTAGTAATATTTCAATAAAATTACAAATATGGACAAAACACATTCAGTAAAGGTTTTTGCGAAATGCTGTCGCCTTTAATCTTTGAATCTTTAATATCTTTTTAACTGTTGTAATTATACAAATTGGAAAACAATCCTTTGGTTACATCAGTTTAACATACATAGATTTTTTTTTTATGAAAACAACAGATTTTAAATTGAGGTAAGGGGAACCTTTAAACACAATCTAAAATAGTGTTACAATAGTGTGTACAACACGAAAAAATGATAATAATTTACAACATGTCTATCAAAAAGAATAACTTACTTACTATCTTTCAAGCAATCATTACAAGTTGGAAGTATTGTACACATTAAAGGTTGAAAAAATAGAACGTTTAAAGTTTATCACTAAAGAGTAAACACAGAATATATACATGTATGGAAACCCGCCTGAAACAAAATCGTCTTTTTCTTGTTTCCAACAACTAAAGTAATGTTTGACACATCAATACTGGTAATGTGATGATCAAAGGAATCGATTCTATTTCTTAGCATTTTTGTGAATTTATTCACAAACTTCTACATGAAAAAAAGCTTTTGATATGACCTTCATTTCAGCAATTTCATAAAAGTTTATAAAAAGTTAGCACAAACACTAAAGCACACACACACCCACCCACCCTCACACACACACACACACACACACACACACACACACACACACACACACACACACACACACACACACACACACACACACACACAACTGCCTTTAGTTTGTTACTAAAAAAGTGTTATATAGTCTTTAAAAATTCATTCCTGAATGTATAACTAATTTAATTTCAGACTGAATGATGAATGTTAAAGTGAAATTATGTAAGCTGTACATAAGGTTCAGCCATGTGATCATTATGTCTACAGTGTACTTCCTTGATTGTCATTTGTTTCACGGGACTAAGTCTGTTCCAAGGTCATCCTTAAAATAGTTCTGCGGGCCGACTCTCCTAATTCTTCATACCACTCTTAAGTTAATAATTACCTAATGAACTCAGAAATTTTGGTTACTTAAACATGTTAAACTTTCGTTTTTAAAGGAGAAGTTATATGTACAATAAATAAATTAATTCATTTTTTTAACTTCTTGTGAGATTTGCTTTTGTTTTTAAGGCAAAGAAAAATATTCGTATTAAAAATAATTATGTATAAAAAAAATTTGGTATGATATTAAAGTAGTAAAAAGTTGTCAAGTTAATTTTATTATTATTATTAATAAAGTTATTTTTTGTACTTTACGTACCGGTACTATTTATTCAATTAGTTACAGTACAGTATTGACATTAAATGCCCAAATGTCATTTTTCATATAAACAACTTCGGTAAAGGAGGCCAAAAACATATTAGTTAATTTTTCTTCAGTTCATATCATTCATTGTTTTGTTTTTTTTTTTTCATAGTTTTAAGCGTGTGTTGGTTAGATAAAGATTTGTCAATCTTAAATAAAATACAGAATTTTAAAGCTTTTTAAATGCCCCCCTATAACCATTATGCATCAATATTTCCTGAAAAAAAACCCCAAAGTGTAAGTTTATCAATTGATCGATATAAAGGAACCAAAATGTTCGTAGAATTCCCCTAAATAGTATACAATCATATGTATAAGGAACAATTAATTATAGCGTAATTTTGCACCACTCATGAAATTAAACTGCTACATGTATCCCATAATTTTATATTGCTAAAATTTCTGTAGAGTTTCCTATTAAAAGATCACTTGCGAACGAATATTATATTTATAAGGAACAGATGAGTTAGACTCTGTGGTAGTGGTATCTTTTACTTCAAGCTCACCGGGATATTTCATACTGACATAAGAATGGAAATTGTGTAACCGTAGTTAATTGACAATACGTTGTCGATATATCTAAATGTCGAGTTGAAGACCAAATGTGTTTTCTTCTTTTCGCGAATAAGATTTTGCACAAATTCTGCTTTATAGGTCTGCTAATAAAGAGGCACAATTGGTACCCATTGGAATTTCAATAGGTTGTTGGACGACCTGGTCTCTAAACACCACATAGATATTATCAATCAGAACCTCTAGCATCTTTTAAAAATCAAAATTTCAGAGTACTTGTGTGAAAAATCATCAGAACATCAAGCATCTTTTAAAAATCAAAATTTCAGAGTACTTGTATGTAAAATCAGAATGTTTTCCCAGGAAAATTTTGCAAATGACAAATGACAAAGTTGAAAAATTTACGAGTTTCATTTTATTGAAAAATCAGCTTACTCTATCTTAAATTTCTTGATCTCTTAAATTTCTTGTCCTGAATTGAATTATTAGAATTGCTTTGCCCCTTATTTGTTATTTTCATTTACACTGCTTGATAACTGTTTATTATCTTTCAACTTTTAAGATTTGGCTCCGGGGCCATAAAAATTTTTTAACTGAGCTCATTTTTATCTAAGTCTTATTTTAAAAAAGAATGTATATTGGAAAAGTAAGACAGAAATCAAAAGTAGGCTCAACAAAGTTTTCTTTCCCCGAAGACAGTAGGGATCCTTCTTATATGAGTTCTAGTTCCCAGCGACGAGTCAAATCTAAAGCACAAACAAAGGGTAGTGACTATTCCTTCGCCAAGCGCTCGGCATTAGAATTGAAGTTCATAGGTCTATCGGATTTAACCCGCAAATAAAAAAAAAACAACCGGTGTCTCGGTAGTCATTGGACGATGAAGATATAATAGCTGTTCAATGGTCCTGAGTGCCCCCGACTAGTGGTCATAATTGAAGCCCATTACAGTTACGGTAATCAATGAATCATATTGATGAAGTCATCAACATAAGTTTCGTTGTAAATATTTCGTTTCAGTAAAAATAATTCGGAAAAAAAATCAAGTGAGAATCATTTAAACGATATATTAGTTTCTGGTTTTATCTTTAGAATCTAACAGCCCAAAATCAAAAGGAAAATATGGAATAAATTTATTTTCAGGCGTTGAATGATTTTTTTTGAGAGATACTCGTTATAAATATAAATTGTCATGAATAATCAGGACAATGAATTCAAAACAAAAAGCGAAGAATCGTTTGTAGCACTGCATTTTTTTTCTTTTAACATTTTTATAAATTATTTCAAGAGAAACCACCCATGCACTGTCAAGTCCGATTTGCTTTTTCTTACCCAAATTAAAGGTCAATCAAATATATGGTATCAATTTTGATAATGCCATATGTCAGACCGTACGTGAAACACGTCAGAAGTCCATTATACTTAAAAGCCACACAAATTAGACTTAACGATTCTTTCAAATCTTCAAGAGAAAATCTCTTCTTTCCCCAAAAATAAAATAGACAGGAATGATGGCACGGGATGTCAGAATACTTCGGTTAAACTTGAATAGAATTTTTTTTTCATATATATTTAAAAAAAGAAGAGGAATATGAATGCCAAGTGATTGTCAGTACTAGATCGAGGCCAGTCATTTTTGAGTGGTGAAGGGACGGTGTCGCTCAAGACTGAAGTGAATTGGTGCAACATAAAGACCACCCTATTCAAATCTGGTGATAAATCGCCTTGCACTCAGTTATCGTTGGTCATTGCTTAATTCTCAAGATTTATGAGCTAAATATCTCAGTAAAATTCAACACGGTGTCTTCTTCGTTTTGTTATGATATGCATATTTATATTATTTATAAATATAATAAAAGTTTACTGTGATTTATTTTCATGTGTTAATGTTAAAGGTGCAATTATTATTTTAATGGTACAGGTGCAATTGACAACAAACTTTGTTCTACATAACTGCTAGTCACTGCTGGATATTTGCGGTTTTTCATTCCCTTATTGAACAACAGGTATGCACTCATTTGGCACACTGTAGTTTGTTGCATACTAAAATATTAAATTTTTTTTATTAATTCATGGCTATATTTTGCGTTGTAAAAGCGTCGAGTGTCAAATATTAATTTTCCATTTATTAAGCAGAGGTTATTTATGGAATAGCTATTGTTCGACGTATATTTTCGCTAACTTATAAAAGTATCGCTAAGAACTACGTCTTGGTCAAAACTTACTCTTTTTCAAGATAAAAAAGATTTTACAATGTACACCGACAATGAGTTTGAAAATATTAAGTTGTATGCTGACTTTCGTTTGTCAAACTTTTTAAAAACTGAATTGTCCATAGATTTTTTCGTGTTCGATCATATAGGAAGAAAAAAAATTATTCTGACCAATCAAGTGACACTCAATAAAATTACTCTGTTAAAGATCACATGCACTAATTCTACGACACAAATACTCTGAAGTTGATATTAAAAGGATGTTGGGAGTTCCTTATTTACACAACTCTGTAGTCTTTGGAACCAAGGTCTTTCACCAAACTGTGGGAATTCCGATAAACATCAGTTAAGCTCCTTTATGTGGCGACCTGTTTCATTGTTTGAGTCTGCTGTTTAAGTCATCTCGAGAATTTATCACTCATACCAAGACGCCACCACTTGCCGACGGAGAGCTGCAAATTTATACCCAAACTCGGCGCCAAGGGCCATTGAGCTGTAATAAGGGATCCTTTACGTACTTATACACCTACTGTGACACAAGTTAATACAGTTCCATCCGAACGACCGATCTCAGCGTCTCATAAATGGATTCGAATCCTCTACGTAATTTAGGATCAACTCAGCGACTCTAGAGCACACACTCTATCCACTACACACTACGTAATTATATGCCTATGAAGAAGAATTTATGCTAAAACTTCTACGAGAAAATAGAAATACTTGTAGCCTTCAACACCAAATTCATATAGATGAAGTATTAGTAATTAACAAATGTTACTTTAATTCTTATATCGAAAGCCACCAAAATATGGCTGAAATATTGCCGACTCGGCGTTAAACAATAATACAATCAATCAATCCATCTTATGGCGAACCAATATACCCAAATCGACTCGATATGAAATAGACCGGTAAGTCTGTCGCATCTGCTTTATATTTGGATATATTTGGATATTTTGCTGAGTAAGGACGATGCCAACTGACATCTTTATTGTATGACAAACGAGATGATTAAAATATTTTCTGCGTCAACTTGCCTTATTTGTGCAGTAATGATATAAAATCCCGTTTTAACCTCTATATGATGTTTATGTCCTCCAATAAATACTCTAGAGCATGCTCCGAGTAGAGCAGTTTTTGAAACCAAAGCAGGCTTCTGACAGATAATTTGATGTTACAAGAATTTCAACAACCTTGTTTAAAGTCAGTTTTTCTATGGTCGTTTTATTGACCTTGTTAGTAAATGTAACGTATCATTGGGTCGTTTTTGGGCTGACATATTTCATACCAATTGTTTGGCATTTTTTAATAATGAATTTAATTTTAAAAATTCCGTCTGATCTATACAT